ACACTTTTTGCCCCACTCCCCTCAGGAAGGAGGTTAAGGAGCATTAAGTGTAGAACCACTAGACTGAGGAACAGCTTCTACCCTGAGGCTGTTAGACTCATGAATATCTAACTAGAATAATCACTGTGAAAAACCACATCATGTTGCTGCTGATCTGTTTCATGTTGCTGCTGATCAGTTTCATGTTGCTGCTGATCAGTTTCATGTTGCTGCTGATCTGTTTCAATGTTGATGTGTTCATGAGTGCACATCTGCTCACAGACTCATGTTCATGTTTGTGCTGATGTTCAATGTTTTATGTTATGAGTGCTTAGTGTATATTTAGTTGATGTTTTTCTTAGTTCATATCTTAGATGTTAGTACTGTTTTTCTTATACATTTTATTGTTGGATGTAACTGGGACCTTGTGTACATAATTTTGCTCCACCACATGTACCACATGAGGTGCGAATGACAATAAAGAAACTCTGACTCTGACTCTGATTATCTTCCACTTGTTCCCAAGTCAGGTCACGGGGGCAACACCTTGAGCAGAGAAGCCCAGACATCTCTTTCTACAGCCACCTCTTCCAGCTCTTCTGGGATGATTCCAAGGCGTTCCCAGGACAACTGAGAGACATAGTCTCTCCAGCATGCCCTGGGTCTTCCCGGGGTCTCCTCCCAGTCGGACATGCCCGAAGCATCTCCCTAGGGAGGTGCCCAGTGGGCATCCTTAGCAGATGCCCAAACCACCTCAACTGGCTCCTCTTGATGTGGAGGAGTAGCGGTTTCTACTCTGAGTCGATCTCAGATAACTGAAGTTCTCACTCTATCTCTAAGGGAGAGTCCAGCTACCCTGTGGAGGAAACTCATTTCAACCTCCTGTATCCACAATCTCATTCTTTCAGTCACTACCCAGAGTTCATGACCAGAGGTGAGGGTAGGAACGTAGACTGACCAGTAAACCGAGAACTCTGCCTTACAGCACAGCTCCCTCTTCCCCACAACAGACCTGTACAGAGTCTGCAATACTGCAGATTCTGCACCAATCCATCTGTCAATCTCACGCTCCATTCTTCCCTCACTCATGAACAAAACCCCAAGATACTTGAACTCTTCCACTTGAGGCAGAACCTCACCCTTGACCTGAAGAGAGCAATCCACCCTTTTCCAGTTGAGGACCATGGCCTTAGATTTGGAAGTGAGGATTCTCATCCCAGCCGCTACACACTTGGCTGTGAACCTCTTCAGTGAGACCTGAAGATCATGGCACGATGACGCCAACATGACCACATAATCTGAAAAGAGCAGAGATGGAATCCTGAGGCCACTGAACCGGAATACCTCCTCCCCCTGGCTGCACTGAGAAATTCTGTCCATAAAAGTTATGAACAGAATTGGTGACAGTGGGCAGCCCTGGCAGAGTCCAACTCCCACCTTGAAGGGGTTCGACTTTCTACTGGCAATGCGACCAAACTCTTACAACGCTTGTATAGGGACTGAACAGCCCATGACAACAGGCCCCCAATCCCATACTCACGGAGCACCCCCCACAGTGTACCCCAAAGAACACGGACAAATGCCTTCTCCAAGTCCACAAAACACATGTAGATTGGATGGGCAAACTCCCATGACCTCTCGAGGACCCTAGTGAGGGTAAAGAGCTGGTCCAGTGTTCCATGGCCAGGATGGAACCCACATTGTTCCTCCTGGATCTGAGGTTCGACCAGTGATTGGACTCACTTTTCCAGTACCCCTGAATAGACCTTACCAGGGAGGGTAAGAAGAGTGATGCCCCTATAATTGGAGCACACTCTCCGATCCCCCTTTTTGAAAAGGGGAACCACCACCCCAGTCTGTCAGTCCAGTGGCACTGCCCCCGATGTCCACGCGATGTTGCAAAGGTGTGTCAACCAAGACAGACCCACAACATCCAGAGCTTTAAGGAAATCAAGGTGTCACAGTTTACACTCTGTTTTTTCTTTTTCTCATCACTCTGTTCACTGTTTGACTTTTTCTTCTCTGCTCTCCTGGGTTTTTCCTCTGCTGCTTCTGCCAGCCTCTTTACATGCCACACCTCCCTCTCTGATTGCTGCTGATGGTTTCCACTGGTTTCTGGGTGTATATATACTTCCTGCTTTTTCCACTACATTGCCAGATCAACTGCTTGCTTCCAGCCACAGTTATCCAGCGTACTCTCTTTGTTCACAGCTCTTTAATCTTAATCCACGCCTGTTTCCCTCGACCACACTTTTTGCCTGTCCCTTTTGTGCCTCAGCCTTCTGACCTTGTTGACGACCTATGCCTGTTTTTGGATTTCGCCTTTGCCTCTCCCTATCGGTACTGTCTCCTCTTCTGATCCCGTTTATGAACCCTGCTCATCCTCGACAACGCCTCTGGATTTCCCTTGGTCTCTGCAGCTTTGTGTCTCCGCTGGAGCGTCCCGTTACAACAAGAAAGATACAGTTTCTGCCCCTGGACCTGAGACACCAGAAACTGTTTATTTACATAATAAACATTTTAAAAACTTTTCTGAGTCTGTGTGTAGGATCATCTGCCATCAGATCTCTGACACAAGGTGAATCTCATCCACCCCTGGAGCCCTTCTGCCGCAGAGCTTTTTAACTACCTTAGCAACCAGCGAGAAGCACCGACAACCTTGCGGCCACAGATCAAGGCGGATACTTCAACAACTGAGTCCTAGAACATGGCCTAGTCTGACTCAGTGTTCCCTGCCTCAGCTGGGATACGGTTAAAGCTCTCCTGGAGGTGTGAGTTGAAGATCTTTCTGACAAGTTCTTCTGCTAGGCATTCCTAGCAAACCCTCACTACACGTTTGGGTCTATCGGGTCTTTCTAGCATCTTCCCCCCGCCATCTGTTCCAAATCACTACCAGGTGGTGATCAGTTGACAGCTCACTTCCTGTCTTCATCCGAATGTCCAAAACAAACAGCTGCAAATCAGATGACATGACTACAAAGTCAATCATCGATCTACGACCTAGGGTGTCCTGGTGCCAAGTACACTTATGGACACCCTTATGTTTGAACATGATGTTTGTGATGGACAAACTATGACTAGTGTTGCACACTCGAACAATGAAGACGTCGTCGAGGCGTGCATTTGGTTGCAAATAATCTTTTTACTTTCTGTTTCTCTGAAAATACAAACAACAGGCACAGATAAGTCAGACAAGCTTCACATTAATGACTGCAGGTGTTCTACTGAGCTGCATATGTTCCCAACACAGATACTTAGGACCAGGGCTGCTCCTAGGGCCTGTTTGGACTAACTACACCCCAACTCAATCCCCCCTCAGCCAAAATATTAGTTATCTAAGTGCCTTTAACTATGCAGCCTAACTTGAGCACTGAAATACATAATGCCGTTTAATTACAAAACAAAACAAAATATTTAATGGAAGAGGATCACACATTTTAAAGAGAGAGGATCACATATTTTAAAAAGTGGGGGGACAGTGCCACTTGTTCTGGAGCCCCTTGTCACTGGTCCGCCACACTAACACAGAAGTCCAACAACAGAACACCGCTCAGAGAGGCCGTTCCTCCCAATCATGCCCCTCCAGGTCATACTGTCGTTACCCATGTGGGCATTGATCCCCCAGCAGAATAAAGAAGTCTCCAGCTGTTGCACCTTCCAGCATCCCTGCCAAGGACTCCAAGAAGGCCGGATGCTCTAAACTGCCGTTCGGCACATAGGCACAAACAACAGTCAGAGCCCGTCCCCCCACCCAAAGGAACAGGGAATCTACCCTCTCATCTACCAGGGAAAACTCCAACACACATGCACCAAGTTGGGGGGCTACATGTAGACCTACACCAGCTCGGTGCCTCTCACCCTGGGCAATTCCAGAGTGGAATAAGATCCAGACCCTCTCAAGGAGATCGGTTCCAGAGCTCATGCTGTGCATCGAGGTGAGCCCAACTATATCTAGTTGGTACCTCTCAACCTCACGCAAAAGCTCAGGCTCCTTCCCCACCAGAGAGGTCATCTTCCATATCCCAATAGCCAGCTTTGGTAAGCCATGGTCAGAGCGCCATGGTCCCCACCTTCGGCCACTGCCCATAGATTCATGCACCCAACTCATATGGCCCCTCCTGCAGGTGGTGGGCCCACAGGAAGGCAAAGCCATGTTGCTCATTCAGGCTGACCCTGACTGGGCCCCATGGGTAGAGACCCGGCCACCAGGCGCTTGCCGATGAGCCTCTCTCCCAGGCCTGTCTCCAGGTTGGGGCCCTGGTAACCCACGTTTGGGCAAGGGACACTGAGTTCCTTGTTTGTTTCTGTCCATAAGAGTCTTCTGAATCAGTCTTTGTCTGGCCTGTCACCTATAACCAATCTGCCTTGGGAGACCCTACCAGGGGCAAGCAAAATGGCCCCAGACAGCAGAGCTCCTAGGATCATTCAGGTGCACACACTCCTTCACCACGATAAGGTGGTGATTCAAGGAGGAAGAGCTGATTTTTGGTTTCTTTAATTTGAGCTGTGGGCAAGGTGGCACTGTTTCAATGGTTTTTTTGGGTGGGTTACAGAGAAGAACTGTTTGGTACTGTTTCAATGGGATTTTGGATGGGTAACAGAGGAGAAGCAGCAGAGAAGTGTGGAAGACTACATCTCTTCTTCCTGGACTGATTCCTAGACTGGACCTTTAATTGTCATGTTAGATATTTATCTATAGGCTGGTCCTGTTTTTTTTTATTTTTTTTTATCTGTTCCGTTTCCGACCTGGGCCGGTTCACCCCTCCTTGTCAACCTGGTGGTCCCGGGCTCCCCAAGGAGCACCACATCGATACAGAGCATAGTGCGGACACCCCATTGGCATAGTCCACTGCAACCCAGAGCTCCTGAGCTCAAACGATCCGCCAGCCTCTATACAGCCTCTATACAGCCTCCATAATCCAGATGTCCAAATGGATTAGCTAAGTTTTTAGAGAGAAGTGCTGCTCCATTTAAGGTGGGATGAATTCCATCTCTCCACATCAGACTGGGTTTTCCCCAGAATGCACTCCAGTTGTCTACAAATCCTATGTTGTTTTCAGAGCACCACCTGGATGCCCAGCAGTTGATTGCTGACATACGGCTAAACATGTCATCGCTGGACAGGTTGTGGAGGGGGCCGGAGAAAACGATGGAGTCATACATTGTTTTAGCGAAGTTACACATCGAAGCAACACTCATTTTTGTGATCTCCGATTTGCGTAGCCGATCCCATCCTCCATTTTAAAGACTCCAGAACCAGCACAGTATATGAATAAATATAATATTTTATTCAGATCCCGTTGTGTTTGCCTTGAAGTCTTGCTATGCTCACAGTAAAAACTGATCCGGTTACGGTTAGGGTGTTGAGACCATTCGTCTTTCATCCAAAGGACTTCATCAATCCGAGAAGCCGCAACAAATTCAGTCCCATAAGAAGATGGTTTCTGGAGTCCGCCCTCTCCCCGGTTTACTCTTCTGAGACAGTTGTGCCAAAATGGTTGAAAACATCAAAGTTCATGCTCAACAATCCAAGTAAAAATGCAACAAAGTTCAGTCAGGTCCCCTGGACAGTTTCTTTGTGTTGAAATGTTTTGTCTTTTATTCAAGACGGATTATTGAGCATGAACTTTTATGTTTTGATGAAGTCTTTGGATGAAAGACGAAACATTTCAACACAAAGAAACCGTCCATAGGGACCTGGCTGAACTCTGTTGCAGTTTTTATCGAGATTACAAGCGAACTGGGACGTGACGTCTGGGACTTTAATGGAGGACTCTGAGCTTAAAGGACCGGATGTTTTTTAAATCCTCAACAGTTTCTTCTACATTGATTTAAACAACAGTGTCCTTGTTTTATGTCAGAAAAACCACAGACAGAAAATAACAAATTGGCGTTATCTCAGTTATGTTTTTATTTTTGAAGTGTAGTGTCGTCACTTCCGTTAACGGTGCGAATTTCCGGTTTGGAGCAGCTCCTCGGCTTTAAACGGCCGACCTGCTGGCCTGATCCGTGGATGCGCAGCGGTGTCACACGAACCGGATCATGGCATAAACATGGCCCATAACAGAAGCTTTTTCCTCCAAGGTAAGCCGTGACACTCGGTTCCGTCTGACCCGCACGCTGCCTCCGGGGTCCGGCTCGGGGTTCGTGCAGGTTCTGGCTCCGCTGGCTCCCAGTCGCTCATCCTCACCCCGGCGGGGAGATGGCAGCCCCGTCAGGCCGGTGGCGGTGCCTCATGCCTGGGCCTGGAGTGGAGGAGCAGACCGCGGCGGCTCGGTCCGGTTCGGTGGGGTCTGACCCGGTTCTGGTCAGAAGTGGCGCGAGCTCCGCCGTTAGGGCTAATGGAGCTGGATGTAGCCGCTGCAGAGCCAGGCCTTCCTGTGTCTGTGGGCTGTTAGCGTCCACAGCATGTTGTGAGCACAGACAGATGCGAGCAAATAAACAACAACAACAACAACAACAAACAAACAAACAAACACGGATTGTTAGAAGGGACCGCCTGAAGCTGCTCCGTGCTAATTAGCATGCTAACGAGTTAGCTTCAGATGTAAACACGCTCATTGTTCTGCTGCACTGAGCTGATGTTTACACGCTGTCAGCTCACAAACAAGTAAACAACAACAACAACATCAACAAGCAGCTTTACCACCGAGAGGAGGACCTGACGCTGCCCTGCTCAGAGGCTGCGGCAGTCCGAGACCAGGGCTGAAGGTCTTCTGGGTTCTTTTTACAGAGCAGAACCTCCGAGTCCATCTGACCCATCAGAACCTCCGAGTCCGACTGACCCATCAGAACCTCCGAGTCCATCTGACCCATCAGAACCTCCG